CCCCCCGGCCCCTGCCGCTGCGGGGTGTCGGCAACGGCCGGCCCCCTCGGCTCTTTCCGCCACCGCCTCGGCTCTTTCCGCCTCCGCTTCGCCTGTTTCCGAGCCCGCTCGCCGCTTTCCGCTCGCCGCTCGGCGCGCCCCGGCCCAAGCTCGGCACTTTCCGCCCCGCGCCTGGCACCGCCCACCCCCGGCTCGGCTTCTCCGCCGCTCGGCTGTTTCCGCCGCGGCTCGTCTCTCTGCGGGTGACGAGCACCTGGGGGGGACGGAGAGCCGCGCTCTAATAGGCCCGGCGCTCAGCTGTTTCCGGCCGCTGCTCGGCTCCGACTACGGGCGGAAGGGACCCAGGGGGAAGTGACCTTCACCCGGTCGCCATCTTTGCTGAGGGCGCGCCATTTCTGTCCCGGGGCAGCGGGCGGGCGCGACGTGAGCACGTGTAGCCGGTGATGCTGCGTCCTCCTCCCTTCACAGCCTTTAGAAAGGTGTCGGCGTTTTCCGGGCGGGGCGGGGCTGTGTGCGTGGGTCACAGGCGACGACAGCGCAACCTTATGCCAACAATTAGGGTCACATTTGGCCCTTGAATGACTCACGGATTTGGAACTGATTTGGCTTAGAACACGAAAAAAAATCCTTAAAAAAAGAAAGAAAAAAAAGTTGCATGCCCATACCTGTGGGGTGCCCAAGAGTTGGGCGGCATGGGCAGGAATGGCTGTCTGGACAGCATGGCCATCTGGGTGTACCGCAGCCGGCAAGGAGCGGGTGGGAGCTGTCGGGCGTCAGGGTCAGAAGGTTCCGCAGCAGTTGGCAGGGAGGGCCGGGGCAGCTGTTGAGCGTCGGGGCCGGAAGGTTCTGCAGCATTTGGCAGGGAGGGCCAGGGCAGCTGTTGAGCGTCGGGGCCGGAAGGTTCCGCAGCAGTTGGCAGGGAGGGCCGGGGTAGCTGTTGAGCGTCAGGGCCGGAAGGTTCTGCCGCATTTGACAGGGAGGGCCGGGGCAGCTGTCAGGTGTTGGGGCCGGAAGGGTCTGCGGCAGGTTGGCAGGCCGGAAGGTTCTGCCGCATTTGACAGGGAGGGCCGGGGCAGCTGTCAGGTGTTGGGGCCGGAAGGTTCTGCGGCAGTTGGCAGGGAGGGCCGGGGCAGCTGTCGGGCATCGGGGCAGAAGGTTCTGTGTCAGTTTCTGGGCAGAGGGCCGTTGTCAGAGCCAAGAGGTTCCTGCCTGGTGGGGAGTGGGTTGGCAGGCCATGTTGGGGCTGGGAGGGACGAGGGCAGCACTCTGGTTTTATGGCTGCCAAGGTTCCACATTGTTGGGCTGTGGAAGGGAAGTTGGTGATGGTTGGGATTTTAGGTCTGGAAGTTTCTGAGGCAGAGGATGGGGTGAGGGCTCTCTGGTGTCCTGGCAGTTGAGGAAAGCTGTGGGGGAATTGGGCAGGAGTCTGAATTTTGCAGCAGCCAGGGCTGGGAAGGCCCAGAGGGGACTTGCTGGAATGTTGTGGTGAGACAGTCCTGTGGTCCTTGGATTGTATGCAGAAAAGGTCTGGCTGTTAGAGCCAGACAGTTGCATGGTGGTGCTGGAACAGGAGGGCAGAAAGCAACTGCCCGGGATGTGGAATCCTGAAGGTCCTGTAGCAGCAGGGGAGTGAGAGGTAGCAGAATAACAAGAGTCAAAATTACAAGTTTCTGTAGCTCCAGAGGAGCAAAAGTGATGTAGGGGTCTGTGAGGCTTTCATGACTGAAGCATGGAGGGCAGTTTTCAGGATGTCAGTGCCAGGCACTGCTGTGGCAGTTAGGGAGTGGAAGGGAAGGATGACAAATGTCAGAACCATATTACCCTCCCTCAGTCCTTTAGTAATCAAGTTGTGTATCAGCATTCCTTTGCTGTGCAGGTTGATGTCAGGCATGCAGTATGTGGGTCATCCTGTTTACTTGTATTGAATATATGAGCATTAGTTTTTTCCAGTCCTATGGAATTTTTTGAAAATCAATGTTAATAGAATTCTTCACCGTTTATGATTCTTGGATAGATGCAGGTTATCCAGAACTGTTGATTTAAATATTTAGTAGCTACTATTTCATGTTCTCCTGAGTTGTTATGGCAGGGCTGTCCCAGGGGGGCGGGTGAATCGGGGTGACTGCCCTGGGCCTTATGCTTTGGGGTCCCCATGGAGCCAGGCGGGGCAACCATGGTGACTCCGTGCTGCCGCTGGCTACATGTCTGGCCACTTGGCACCCCCACCCGTTTGCCGCTCAATCTGCCGCTGGCTTCCTTGCATCCGGGGTTGGGGCCCTGCACCCTGCTCGGATCATCTCTGACTATTGGAATGGAAAGATTTTCTTTATCGTAGATGGTGTATTCATACCATGTTGGCTTTCTTTCCCATCTAGACAAGAAATATCTTTTTTGTTCTTTTCTGTGTTATTCACAGTTCTACTATTTCCATCTAGTAGTGGGCAGTTAGTTTTTTAAGCATCTTTTCATTGTGCATTTAGTATTAAAATTTAGAGGTGCACCAATATATCAGTCCATCTCATATTGACATTGATAAAAGGAAAATTGACATTATTGACTACAAAAAGCCGACTGCTGATAATTTCACCGATAAAAGCCGCGTGCTTGTGTGTGGCTGTGGCATACACGCAGTCAGGGATGCACCCCGGCAGCTTGGATACCAGCGTCTAGCTGGTAAGTCTGTTGGGGGGAGTTATGTGGGGGAGGGGTGTGGGGGGGACAGATCAAGGCTCCCACAGTGAGCAAGGGAGTGGGGGCTGGGGCTAAGTTGTGGGCAGGAACTGCCTAGCCGGGACAGGGTGTGAGACAGCCCCGGCGGGCGTGAGGGGCCAAGGGGTGGCTCCTTGCCAATACGTGCGCCCATGGGGAAGGCGTGGGGGGCATGTGCCCCCCAGATTTGTGTGCAGGATGAGGGCAGGCTGCCTGCTGTGGGCTTGGGGCCAGGGGCTGTGATAGCCTCTTACTGGCAGGGGGCAGAGCGGGGCTGGGGCTACGCTCAAGGCAGGTCATGGCAAATTTTGGGGTGGCTGCAGCCTCTCCTGTAAATCTGCCTCCCAGCACCATCCCTGCCCACCCCAAGCACATGCCCTACATGACTCCCCTGGGGGTGAACGCAGCATCAGGAACTGCTCTCCCTCCCCCTCACGCCCCCCGGACAGGCAGCCCATGGCTCGGCCATGCATTCTGCCTCTCCTGGGCAGTGCCTGCCCCTGTCCCAGCCCCAACCCCGCTCTCTCCCTCGCCGTAGGGGGCCTTGATCTGCCCCCCCATGCCCCTTCGCTCCCCAACAGACTTACCAGCCAGATGCTGCTCTCCAAGCTGCTAGGCTGCATATCAGCAATTGGATCCGTACCTGATGTAGCTGGTTAATAATCGGCTGTTGGGATTGGCCACCCTTATTAGAATTTATTCCGATTGTCTTTAAATCTGTTGGCCATCAATTTCTCTTTGTGCTGTTTTGATTTCCTTATTGATTTTCTAGAATTTTTGGACTGGATCCCATTCTGTCTGTTCAGTGCTTAAGAGCGTGATCCTATTGCAGGCTTCTCAAGCCCCTGAAAAAAATGATAATGTGAATATGCTTGGAATGTGTTGTTATCCTAGCCTGAAAATGAAATCCCAAAAAAGCAGTGAGCAATAGGAGGATCCATCTGTCTTTTGCATTACTTATTTTTCAGGGATTCAAGCAGGATGGAATAGGATCATGCTTAGGCATCCAAATAGATGGATCTAGCCCCTAGCTTCTGATTTATATTTGTTGATCTGTCTTTCTTCTATTTTCCATTCATTATTTCTTACTTCTTTTTATGCCCGCTTTCATTTCTTCTGTAAGCTAGGTTGGTTTTAAACCACAGTCACCTCTCTCAGTTGTAGGACTGTGATTTTTCAGGGCTTAAACTTTCCCAAGTATTATTCATATATTATTTTTCAATACATTTTTCCCAGCTGATTTAGTTCACAATTGTTTTCAGTTTTGTGAAACTGACCCTTTTAAACATCCAAGTATATCTTTTTTGTTGTTGTTTGGACTTTATTCCATTTGCACATTAAATATATCTTCAGGTAGAAGGCAAGAGAGATTTGCACTTTATAGTCTAACTAAATTAGAGAAAGAGTATAAGTTTTTATGAGCTAGAGCTCATTTCATGAGATGCTTTGAAATGATGTGCACAGAGCTGTGTATAGAATGGAAAGAGATTTGAATACAAAAGAAAGTTAGAGAGGGTCAGTGCTGGGAGAGGCAAAAAAAAAAAAGAACCCATAGGAACAAAGTAATCACAAAAACTAATTTAAATGGGATAAGAATTCTTAATCCCTGTTTAGAGTATAACACAGTCTAGTCTGTGGATGACTTATTGGTATACAGTTTCCTGTTCAAGTTGGATTTTAAAGGTTTGCTGCCTCAGAACAGCTACCCTGAGGTCAGCAATGGATTGTCCAGAGAAGTTTTTAAGTGTTCTGCCCAGTGGCCTTTGTGCCTATCTGCAGCTGATGTCTGTTTGATGTTCATTCAGGCTTACACACAGATTGCTCATATGTTTAATGTAGACAGCAAAGGGCTTCTGTAGGCAAGTGATGGTATATATGATATTTGTAGATGAATGAACCTTGGATGTTATAATCAGTATTATTCAGTCTGGTGATGATGTGATCTGAGGTTCATTGTAAGGCCTGGTATCTCTGTGAGAATGGGATTTATATAGCTTGTTGCTTGAGAGATGTCATTGAGGTTCATAGAATCATAGAAGTAGGGTCGGAAGGGACCTTGTAGATCTTCAAGTCCGACCCCCTGCCTGGGCAGGAAGAAAACTGGGCTCAAGTGACCCCAGCCAGGTAGGCATCAAGCCGCTTCTTAAAGACCC